AGGGGGGGGTGATGGTGAGATTCTCTTTCTGACCTTACGATGGAGGGAAGGTGACCGATGGAGCAGCTGAAGGCGTTCGGGCCCTAGGGCACTGCCGCAAAGACCAATGTCCCAGGTCTCCCTGCAGCCCACAACTGCCTTGGAAAGCCATTGGCTACGTCCCCACTCCCCCACCCATCCCCTTCACGGTGTCCGAGTCCCTGTCCCGTGGCTCCGGGTCATAACCCCGGGGCACGATGCCCTCCCCCTCCCCGCCCCCACCCGGCAGCCCCTCCCTTACCTCCATGTGCTCAATCTGTCGAAGGTGGGTGTTTTTGGTGGTGAGGAGGAGGGCTCGGGCCTCGTCCAGCTGCGTCTTCACCTGAAGGCTCTCGTTGTAGAGCAGCGAGAACTGAGACTGCAGGCACTTGTACTCAGGAGTCTCCTTGACCACCTCTTCCGGGATGTTCCGCATGTCTACCTTGAAGACGGGAAGGGAAGCGTTTCCGAGTGACTCAGAGCGGCGGATTGGGAGGCAGGCGGGGCACCTCGGCTTCGGAGGGAGCGCGGTGGGGGAGGGGGAGGGAGAGAGGGGTCTCTCCGAGAGCCATCCCTGCACTTCAGGGGATCGGGATCAAAGCAGAGGTTGTGCATGGACATGGCCGGCTCCTTCCGCGATTTCGAAGGACCCGAAACATTGAGACAGGCCGACAGATATAAAACTATCGGTGCGGGTTGCATTTGCTGGGACTGAGGATCGCGGAGAGCGAGCACGGCGCAGGGACGGCAGGCCCAAGGCCCCCCCCCCCCGCCACCTTCTCGTTCTCACCCCTCACCAGTGGTAACAGCCTCCCCGCTCCAACCTTACCCACCCACCACTTCCTAAAATGTTAGACACTTCGATAAGACTTCCCAGTCGACTCAACCTCTCCTCGCGGGGGGGGCCCTCTGGGACCACCCGAGCGAACGTCCTCTACACTGCACACCCCCACCCCTTCTCCGGCCAATCTGTGGAATTCCCTGCCCAGTGAAACGTTGCTCAGACGGGGGTAGATTTCAAACAGTAAAGGGGGTTACGGTGAGCGGAGACAAAGGTGCTCTCTCTGAATGGTGGAGCAGGCTTGGCAGGCCTGTAGTGGCCTATTTCTGACCTTGTACGCTGCCGCCGAGGCGCAAACAACATGCGCCGAGATTGTAGATCCTCCGTAACCCTCACTCCTCACCTCCACCCCCCGGCCACCCACCCTCCCGAGGCTCTCACCTTCAGCTTCTCATTCTGCCGCACGGCCTCCTGCAGTTCCTGCTCCAGCTTCTCCAGCTCGGCCATTCGGCTGTTGGCCAGCTCTCTGTTCTCCTCCAGCTCGGCACTGAGCATCTCAAACTGAGGGAGACGGAGACGGGGAGGGAGAGAGGGGAGAGGGGAGAGGGGCAAGAGAAGGAGAGAGGGAGAGGAGGAAGAGAGGGAGAGAGGGAGAGGAGGAAGAGAGACACTGGTTAGGTGACGATGGGATCGCCGTGCACGGTCTCGCCCCGACCCCGCGGCCATGCCCATCTCTCACCGCCTGCCCTGCACCCCCTCCCCACCCCTGCCAGCGGTCACAAAGTGACAGCAAACCCCCTTCGTCTTTCTTTTCATTTTAAGAAATTGATTGGTGGGGCATGGGTGCTGGATTATCACCCCATCGCAACCCCCACTGCGCTGAGGGGGACGGAATTCCCAGGATTTGTGGGCCCAGCGGCTGTAAAGGGCTTGGGGCTGGTGTTCCCCATGTGGACGTGGTGCCAGTCCAGTGGGTGGTGGGGTGGGGGCTGCTTTGTCCCTGGGATGGTGTCGAGCTTCCCGGGTGCCATCAGAGCTGCCCCCCACCCCCGTCCAGGGCAAGTGGGGAGTATTCCGTCCCCCCTCCTTCCTTGTGCCTTGTCAATGGTGGGACAGGCTTTGGGGATGGGTCAGGAGGGGAGTTACTAGCCCTGGCATTCCTACGTTTTGGTAAGAGGCAGGCTACTACAGGCTGTGTGCGCTTTCAGGAGATCTCCCACTCGGGCAACGCTCGGCAACAAACCCGAGCGCACCGACCGCTACGCCAGCACCGAGTGGGCACGAGGGCCTGGCGCCCAATCAGCGCTCTCAGCTCCCTGTCGCCTCGGATCTGCCAATCGGTGCGGCATTCCCGCAGCCGTTGCTGACAAAGTGCAGGGCAAGGGCGACCGCTCTCTCTCTCTGTCCAGGACCATAAGAAACGACAGAAGAGGATGCGCACAGCCCAGACCATCACGGAAGCCAACCTTCCATCCACGGCTCGCTGCCGCAGAAAGGCGGCCAACATCATCAAAGACCCATCCCACCCTGGTAATGACCTCCTACAACCTCTTCTGTCAGGCAGAAGATACAGAAGCCTGAACACACGCACCAGCAGGTTCAGGAACAGCTTCTTCCCTGCCGATATCAGACTGCCGAATGGGCTCTCTAGCCTCAGATATTGTAACTCGCAATGCGGCCTGTGTGCCTCTAAGTCTTTTTCATCTGTTCATCCTTTGCTCGCTGAGATCTGCCTGTACTGCTTGTAAACAAAGCTTCTCACTGTATTTCGGTACAGGGGACAATAAATTCTCTCTCTCTCACTCGCCGAGAGGGGCATACTGACTGGCAAATATTACCCATCACTGACACACTGGGTGGCAGCTCGATTCCCGCGCCAGCCAAACCTGCGACCAAGGTCCTTCCTACTCAACCTCTCCCCGAGGCGTGGTGACCACCTCCCCCCAACCCCCGGGGGGTTAAAGCACAATCCGCTGTTACCTCCGAGACAGACCACAACAGGGAGGCTCACCAGTCACCCTACCGTACATCAGGGACATTTCAGAGATGACCCACAAGACTGCTCAGACCCCTGGCTATCAACCACCCTGCGACAGCTACTGACAAACGTTAAGGATCCCATACCCACACAACCAGTAAAATTAGCGTAACATACAAAACACCGCGCAAGGATCGTGAGAAACACCGCACAGGCCAAACTGGGAGAAAACTAACAATAGGGGTACACAAACGCCGATGAGCCACCAAGAGACACAACCAATTCTGACAGATCTCACTACACAGGGACAAAGAGGGGCCATGAATTCGACTGGGACAACATATCCATAATCGCATGAGCCAAACAGAGACGAGCCAGGGAATTCCTGCAGGCCCGGTATTCCAACCTGAACTCCATCAACAAACACACCGAATTGGACCCCGTGTGCAAACCGCTGGGAAACAGAACCGGATGTGGTGCCAAACGCCCCAAATAAATAACCAATGGGACAGAACACCTACGCTTCACCAGAGGCGCACTGATGGTGTTACAAACAAACCCACCAGCTCGGTGAGCTCATCTGCCATCGGTCGTCTCTCTGCCGTACAATACTATCGCGGCCGATCGTCGGATTCAATCCGCTTTCTCCCCAACGCCCTTTGATCCCCTTAGCCCCCAAGGAACGCCGGCTAACTCTCTCTCGAAAACGTTCGACGTTTCGGCCCCTACTGGAGCAGAGACTTCCAACGGGCTCCCCCACTCTCCGGGTGAAGGCATTTCTCCTCATCTCGCCCCTACCCTGTGTCCTTAAGCGTGCGACGCTCGGTTCGGGGCTCTGCTGGTCATCAGAGAGGTGACGTTCTTTCGCGAGCGAGAGAGAGGTGGGGAGGGGGGGAGAGAGAGAGAGAGAGAGAGAGAGAGAGAGAGAGAGAGCGCACGCACTCGGTTTACAACATGTCCTCCCGGTGGAGGTAGAGAAAGAGTCCAGGGCTTGGCTTTTACCTTGTGTATGTTCAGCGTGATCTGCCCACCTTGAAATCCCGCTGGTCCACCAGACACGTGATAGCCAGAGTTTAACTGCGAGAGACAGAGGGAGTGCATTAGTCTAACAGCAGACGGGAGCTCACCTTACTATCGGGAAGGGGGTACTGTGATTCCAGGTTTATAAATTCCTGCTTGGGTCCTGATCGAGGGCGATGGGTGAGAGACCCAGAGGGAGGAGGGAGGAGGGGGGGGAGGGGGGGGGGGCGGGACACGGATCGAGGGCGATGGGTGAGAGACCCGGGAGGGAGATACCTGCTCTAGTGCCTCGGCCAGGTGCCTGTTCAGTTTCTGCTCCCTCTTCCGCAGCTTCTCAATGTCCCACTGCAGATCCTCGATGGTCGTCTCCATTTCAGACACCTTGGTCTCTGCCGATTGCACCTTATCCTGCAGCTCGTTGTACTGAGGTGGGGGGAGACAAGATGGGAGAAGGGTGAGACTACCACATCACTGGCCCCCTCCCACCCCACCCCACAAACCTAACCACGTCTCTGTAATCAGTGCCCTGCACTCTCCCAGCTCGCACACAGAGGTCTACTGCACGGAAACTGGCCCTTCGGCCCAACTTGTCCATGCCGCCCATTCAACCGGTCCCATTCACCTGCGTTTGGTCCATATCCCTCCATCCCTATCCAATCCACGTATCTGTCCAAAGGTTTCTTATGTGACAAAATCCTCCCAGCCTCCACCACTACCTCTGCACGAAAGCATTGCCTCTCTGGACCCTTTTGTACCCTTCCACTCTCAGCTTAAACCCACGCCCTATCGTTTTAGGCTCCCCGACTCTGGGCAAAAGCTATCCGCCTTATCTATGCCCCACATGGTTTTATAAACCCCTATAGGGTCAGGTTCCAGGGATAAAAAGTCTCCCTTTAACTCAAATGTTCCAGTCCAGGTAGCATCCTGCTAAGTCTTTTTCTGCACTCTTTTGAACTTCATAACATCCTTTCTGTAGGAGTATCTGATTTGCTTCAAGCGCCGAGAGAGAGAGAGAGAGAGAGAACGTGCTTGGTTACACGGCCTTTCAGCCTCGAGATCCAGGATCTCTGTGCCCTGCTCTCCGTCACCACAGAGGCTAGAATCGCGAGCAGCCGATGTGCTTTGGGAATGGTGTCGTTTTGTCCCTGGGGTATACAATTCAGCGACACCACGCGTGATTTGCAGATGGCGGGGAGCAGTTGGGGGGGTTGCTATGGAGGAAGAAATGTAGAAGCGAACTCGGACAAAACGCCCGAAGTGAGTCAGGAGGTGCCACAACAAGCACAGAGAGAACTAACCCGAAAGCAGTCAACTTTTACTTTCAACTCATTCACAGGATGAGGGCGTCTCTGGCAGGGCCCAGCATTTACTGCCCGTCCCGAGCTGCCCCAGAGAGCAGTTAAGAGTCAACCACGTTGCTGCGGGTCACGTGTAGGCCAGACCAGGTAAAGATGGCAGTTTCCTTCCCTAAAGGG